AAATTGTTTATCCAGCCTATCTTATCTAGATAGACCTGCAGAGATAAAAATATGCACAAAAAAATGAGACAAAGCAAAACAAAGTGACAAAAGAAAAAACAACACAAGGAAAAAACCCAATGACAAAAAAAGAAAAGCCTACAAATAGTTCAAGGTCTGTTTGTTGACCTTTAGGAGTGTTTTCATGTCGAGTCTGATGGGGTGCCACTCCCTGGTCCCAAAATCTATTTTTGGTTCTCCCTTGGGACTTCCTTGCTCGGCTCCCCTTGACGTTCTGTTGCACACCCCTAGTGTTTTGCCTTGGTGTGGTGGGGTCAGATCGGGCGCAACTCCCGCACTGTGTCTCCAGTGTTGTCCCCGGTAGGGATATGGGTCAGTGAGGGAAGTCGTGTCTCATAGTGGGGCCGGCCATACGGTCCTCTTTGTGCATTGGCTGCTCTGAGTGGGGATATCATCCTCAAGGCTTGGTGGGCCAGAATGTGCTCTACTGTCTCTTCCTCCCACTTCATTCTCTCCCATGACGGTTTAGGTTTTAAAATACTAACACGTGCAAGAAAAATGAGGAGCATATTCCAAGGGCCCAAGGAGAAAGCAAATGTTTTGAGAATGATGAGGGCAATGAATGTATAAGTGTGCTTTACACAATTGACCTATGTATGGATTGTGATAAGAGTTGTATGAGCCCCAATAAAATGATTAAAAAAATACTAAGATGCATTTGTAATGAAAAAATCTTCCCCCCCAAAAAACCAAAACCCAAACAAAAAACTGCCGTCAATTCCAACTCCCAATGACCATATAGGACAGGCAGAACTTCTCCTGTGGGTTTCCTGGATTGTAAATGTTTACAGGAGGAGAAAGACTTGTCTTTCTCCCATAGAGCGGTTGGTAGTTTTGAACTGCAGATCTTTGGGTTCGCAGCTCATCACTTAACCTCTACGCCATCAGGGTTCCTCCCAAATCATCAGAATTAAAAACAGATTCTTTTGTAAGCCTGTGGTTTCCAATTCTTTACATTCAAGAAAATTGAAAGGGATCTAATCAAGCTGTCAGTTTACAGAGCATTCAAAATATTTTCTTTCTTTTTAAAATGTTCTTCTTTGTCTCAATCATTTTTTCCTGAGTGCTTCCTTATTGCCTATCATGTATTTTTTCATGACTGATCATGATCTCTGATAATTTGTACAGAACTCTATAGTAATTCTAAAAATCAAGCAACCTTCCTGCAGTGAAGCTCTTCCCATTCCCATATACTTTTTTTTAAAAAACATTTTATTAGGGGCTCATACAACTGTTAGCGCAATCCATACACACATCAATTGT